TTATTCCTCATTTGCATCATCTCTCTGTCTTTCAAGATGCCTTCATGAGCCTGGCATTCAGTTGTACAGCTCTGAGGGCAGTCCTTGGCCCACCAAAGCTAACTACTGGAGATACTGCACCAGCATGAAAAAAGAAACCACGTAGATGGAAACCACACTGTTTATTGCTAGGAAAATCTAAACCAATCCTACAGGTCTTTCAGCATCAGCAGTGGTAGAGAAAGGATATGCCAATGGCAGGATGTGGTAGAAGGGACAAGAAAGACACATCAGGTCTTGCCACAAGCTCAGGACGTTTTGCTTTTACACCTCAAAACTACACCATTAAAAGCAAATGTGACACAAGCAAGCATAAACTCTCACATGCTCATGCACACTTACAGAAAGTATGTCTCAACCACATATCTTTTCTACTATTTTTTACCAGTTGGATGATCACTTCCATAACATCTTTGAAAAAGTCCTGGGTGACATTTTTGCACATTTTAACAAGGCATTGGTCTTTGCTGAACATGCTTACACAGCTGGCCCACATGCTGGGAATACCACTATTGACTCTTAGGCAAAAACAAATAGAAAAGTTTCAGAGTTTGGGAATTCTTAGCAGCTGACTTGCTCTAGCCTGCAGGGAAAGCCAACAACAAATAGGCTGGTACAGAGTGGAAAAATATGGACTGGTTTGTTGAAATTCGGGCCTCACGTTAGTAGCATCAATGGAGTAACCACCCATGAGTTCATCTGCAATTATGCTTGGCACCTGTCGGCTATATTACCCCTTCTTTCTGGTAAACTCTTCAACCTCAGATGTCTAGTAACAAGGACAATCTTGCTTATTAGCAGGTTATACTGTAAAAGGGAGCAAGAGACCTTTTCATCTCGTTATTCCCTGGCTGAGCCATATGTAGCACAAACATCCCAAGAGAAAGCTCTGGGAAACAGCCAGGCTTGTTCAAAGCAGGTGAACTGCAGTGTTTTTAAGGCAATACCGTTCCTCCTACTGCTTAGCCCACGCTGTCTTGATGTGGGTCAGACTGTAAATGCCACAATCTGGTTGCCACTGTGCTAACCTCTGCATTCCTCTGACTCCAAGGGAGAAAGTCTCTTCTTCTTTTCTCATCTGGCTTCAAATGGAAGTCTCATGAATACTGTGGATTTAGCGCGTAGTTTTATAATTGTGGTTTTATTTGAATTGCCGCAAAACTGTTGGGTGAGATTAAACACAGACTTCTCCTTTTGAAGCGGTTTGTGCTTAATATGACTTTTACACCCTGTTTTCTCACTGACTTGTAATTTTTTTCTTCTTTGAGTCTAGTTGCAACTCCAGCTCCTACACTGTAGTTGTGAGAGTCTTTCCTCTGTACTGTGCTGAGTGATATTTACGTATAAACTTTTGCTAATTGCTGATTCCATTGACATTCAGGAACCTATGCTGGAATGAATGAAGCTTTCATTCATGTTTATATATTAGTTTCCAACATTTGTATGTTTGCAATCATCAGGCTAAAACCAGCTTTCATTTGCAGATATGTAAATTGAGGGTAACTGAGTCAGCAGATACTTGCTATTTTGTACATTAATTTTATTTTTTTTCTAGTATCACTGAGAGTTGAGTTTATCACAGAAACTTCCCAATTCCTTAACTCAATGTAGTTTATTCAAGTCTGCTAACTATGGTTATGGTTACATTAACAAGCACTTTGTACCAGCAGAAGTCAATCTTCAGAGCTTTTTTTTTGCTGGGGACCTGACACAGGCACTTCAACAGGTCGTTGGGACCCATAGCTCAGCAAAGGTCCAAATTTGGCTCCTGTGCAGTACTGTCATGTTATGGCTGCAGGTCTCCTCCCAGGCCAGTTCTGTCCAAAGAGAATCCAGGTCAGGACTTGCAGTGCCCTTGCTGATGTGAACTCATGCTCAGCAAGTGGGCAACAGTTGAGGGTTGCCTGAAAAGCGCTCTCCTGATCTAACTAACAAACCAACACACTAACACAGACACACCCTATGTGTAAATTACAGAGACTTACACAATTAGAATATCTCTGTGACAATCCCTAGCCATCAACAATTTTCCCAGCCATATAATTGCCACTATTAACAACACAAGTTCCCAATTTAACAAATGGAAGCAAGAGAAATGCCCACATCACTCTGGCTTCTCCCAGCTTTATGATTCAGAGCATAGCAATCTGTTGCCTTTGGTCTTTCGGAAATAGTGCCCAGGTGATAATCTCAATGACAATGTAGCTCTGTTTCTGGTCTGTTCTGGATATCTGAGGGCTTTGATTGCTTTGTGATGGAGGAGGTTCTGATAGGCAGGTGAAATGGGTCTACCATGCCCCAAGAACCCATGTCATTCTCTTCCAGACAGCTGCTCACGTTCTTCCTTGCCCTTTACACTTAGTAGGAGATAACTTGGCACAGAGACCCAAAACTGAGGAGGACACTTAAACAGTCTGGAATCAGCAGGGAGAGGAACCAAGGAGGTGTCTGGTATAGCCCCATGGGAGCAGATGGGTGGTAGGAAGAGGTGATGTGATACATGGCTTAGATTTTGTGTCCTTTAGCGTTGCTGTCTTGTAGGGGAAATGCTGCAGCAGCTTTCCTCTCCAATAATCCACCGTCTTTTGGCATTGGCTCTGGTTTGAATGCCTTCAGCATGGGAAACCAGGCTTCCTGCCTCCCTCTATTCAAAAATTCTGTCAGTCCTTTCTTCATGTCTTGCCATGCCGCTGCAAAAAAAAATATCATCTGTGTGCACAGGCTTTTTATCCTCCTCTGGAACTGTTAACACATTATTGCTCATCAGCTGCTTACAGAAATCACTTATGTACATACTTTGAATCTCACTTTTCCCTGAAGTGTAGATGATGTCAAGTAAAAGTACTTTTAACAGACAGAGCCCCAGACAGACAGTGTGCCAAGACATAGAAGAATGATACTGCTATAAAAACACTGCAATTACATGCATTCAATAAGAATGTTGAAGGAAAAGAAGCCTTTTCCCAGAGCTGTTTCTGGGGCTGTTTGCTCTTCATATTGGCTCAAACAGGGAGTAAGGAGAGAACAAGATCTCTAGCTTGCTCTTGCTGCTAACCTGCTAACAAGCAAGATTTTCCTTGTTACTAGAGATCTGTATAGCAAATCAGTGGCATTAACTTGTACAGTTGTACAAGAAGGACAGCTACATTGTCCCAATCCTTGATCATGCCGGCTGCCCAGCAATATTGCTTTGAGTAGTTCTCCTTTAACAGTTTAATATTCCAGATGGGAACAGTTTCTGTAAGCAATTTTTTTGTGCTCAAAAAAAAGCAGAGAGGAAGGTCAAGATCACTGACCTCTGGTTTTCAGGCAGTGACTAAGCAGATATTGAACTGCAGCATTTGAAAAGGTGATGCAGTCACACAGCCTAGTCTTGGTCTCAGTATCTGCACACACATCCCATTACAAAGCAAAGCACAAACTCATCGACACGCAGTCACACCGGGCTGCTGCTCAGCCTTGCACAAGTCCTTTGTACAGGATAATCCACTTGTAAATACAAATAACCTTCAACCTGTGAAAAATTCTAAAAAGGCAAAATTCTTCCACTTTGTTTTTATGCTGAATCTATCAGGATCTGAGATTACTAAAGCCTCAGCCATTATAATTAAAAAGAGGAACAACTTCAGTCAACTGTAGAAACACTTTCAGCTTCCTCAGACTGCCAGCTCTATCTTGTCAAAGTTTCCAAGTGAAGGTTAAAGCTCACTTTGTTCAGAAAGAAACAAGTAAGGCTGAGGTGCTAGAAAAGTCTGTGATTACCACAGATGTGAGAAAATAAGGCAGAACCTGGTCTATGTAGCTTCACGCAGGTCACATGATGCAATTAATTCCAAATGGTTTTGGTCTCTGTACAGAAACTTCCAGCAAAAGATTTAAACGATGTAATAATTACCTTTTTCCTTTCATGATCCTTCTGACTATACCTTAATTTATGATGCTTTTAACTAGCATACATGTATCCTGAGGCTATGATGGGTGCACATTTATTTAAGTCAAAAGATAAATCTTAATGAAAGGGTTTTTTAACACCATAATTAATGTATTTTGATCATCATAACAGTAATTATTAGAGGCACAAAACCAGAAAGAGATCTCAGCAGAAGCCATGAAGATCCTAAATAGGGTGGAGCACCAGCACTGCCCTATTATTTTGCCAAGAAGTGATACATCAAAGTGGCAGCAGTGAATCATCACACACTACTAGGAACTACACCCAGTGAATCCAAGAGATGGAAATACTAGATGCTCTAACCTCTATCATAAACTGCAAATTATAATCACACAGCAGATAGCGTGCAATTTGCCTTTTCTCATAGTTATCAAGCTATGGTCTCCTTATGCCTCCCCCAACATGATTGCTCATCAGATTAAAACAACAAAACTTGAAGAACCACAAAAATGTAGGAATTTTGGCTTCATATGAAAGGTCCATCTATTTTTCAGATCACGGCTTTCTTTGGTGAAGTATTATAAGCTCTCACCACGTGCCAAGTAACACAACTAGGCACCCCTATTCTTTTAGAAACAGCTTTTATTTCTTAAAAAAATAAAAAATAAAAAAAAAAATAAATCATCTTTTATGGGATTATACACACCATCAGAGGCAAGACCAGCAATGAAAAAGAGCATAACCCTCTTTCCTGCTGTCATCCTCCCCTTAGTAGGAATGACCAGTATTCTGATTTTCTGCCCAGCTATTAAATCTATATGCTCAGGCAGACTGCAACTTGCAGCCAGCCCTTTTGCAATGGCACATGGTAAAGAAGTAAAAAACCCCTGAAAAGATATTTAATAAAACATTCTACTCATTTTACCTTCTTATTTGAAGAATTAATAAGAATTTGTTTCCTCAATACTAAATATGTGTGATAATACTCAAGGGGACCTTATCTAAAAGAAGATGTCAGCAAAAAGACAGGAATAAGGAGTTCCTTAAAGAAAAGGATGTACTGTGGTACCTTTTCCAGTCAAAGTTTCTTCTTGTAGCTTCTTCACTGCTTCTTGGCCCTCCCTCTCATTGTTTCCAGCTGTTACAACAGAGAAAATGGACAATTAGTGATGCAATCAACTTAAGGACAGTGAATATAAGCATGCCACTCTGAAGGGCTAACCACAGTGTAAAATCCAGGGTGAAGTTTCAGGCAAAAAGCTGTGATTCATTACTGTCAGGCAGCAGAGGTTTACAACCACACTGCTGCTGACAGGACTTCTGCCTGTTTATCTCATTTATTCATACAAAATAGGACCATTTGCTGGCTGGACCAACAGAATTGGGATGTGAATCTCTGAGCCAAGATAATTATAACAAATCCAGGTTTTACAAAAACTTCACTATAGGTTAGAGTAGACCTCTCCTTGCTCTTTTTCCAAAATTAAGGCTTCCACAGTCAGAGGAAAGGTCCTACTACCCTACCCAAAATGTTCAGGAAAAGTTTTAGTAACACTAACAAAAAATGTGATTAAGCATGAAAGAGATGCCTTTTGTACCATTTGGCTTAGATGGACAGTTAATAATTGTCTGACATTTGTTTGGCAATTATTTCATAATAACTTGTATGAAAGCAAAAAACAGACACAGGCAAAATACTTCATTTGGTAATACAAGATAAATTTTTTAAATTAACATTCCAGTTACCTATCCACTAATATTTTCCATAGCATGACACATCAAAATGCCTATTGCTTACTATCTAAATGGGATATAAATACTGATAGCTCTCAGGAACTTCATGAAGTTGCCTTCTTCCTTTCCTGATTGTATAAACCTTTTTCTTAGTTTCTATGCAGGCCCCTCTACAAATGTCCTTTCCTCTCATTCACTACGCAGCAGAAATGTCAGGTTTTCCACTTTTTTCCTCATTTTATTTTATTTTTTTAGTAACAGTGAATCAGCTTTATCAAAGATAAGGAAAGAATCACAGTGTCATCGAAAAAGCTAAGGGAGGAACGGACATCAGGAGGTCATCTAGTTCAACCTCCTGCTCACATTAGTTGGTACATGTTTGTATCTGCTTTGAGATGTTAGAAACTGGTATCAGCTGATAGCAGCTTCAAAAAGTGGCAGTAAGCCCTTTGAGACAGATCATGTGTCATCCATTGGTTGCATTAGCTGAAGGCTAAGAGCATGGAAGGGAGATTTTAGGGACAGCCTGACCACTGTGAGGAAGTAGGCTAGTGCATTATTTTGAGGGTGGAGTTTTTGCCATGTTTCTGTAGTAAAAAACAATTATTTGCAACACATTTGTTTTCATGATATGCAAGAAGACTCTATATTTACATAACTGTATCCAAAGAAAAGACAACTAGCATTCCAGATACTGGAGAGAAAAATTATTACCCCATAAAACCTAGAGTCATACTGGCCTGTAAACTGTTCTCTATAAATTCTATTAACTATGGAATTATATTGCTCAGATTGACCAGGAAAAAAGAAATACCAAATAAATAAACAAATAAACAAACAAACAAAAACCCCAACAAAACAAACAACAAAAAGCACACAAGAAATCCCAACCAACAAAAAAATAAACAACCAACCAACAAACACAAACAAAGCAAACATCATTTGCAGTATTTTCTTCTTGCTGTTGGTTTGTTTGGGTTTTTTTTTCCCATTAAAACCATCCAGCCTTGTACAGAACAGAAACATTCAGCTTGATGCTAATTCCCAGATATAGCTGCAGTGTCAACAAACAAACCCTCCAGTGAAACTGCCATTTCTGTGGAAACCTGCACACCGGGGCTATGGGCAAAGGATTAGCTTTTCTCACTGTTTCACCTCAAGTGATGTACTAGAGTAAGATTTCAAACTCAGCATGTTATCACACCTGATAGTTTTAGGCTAGAAACAAAAATACTCTGGCGCCAATTCTGTGAAGGTCTTATTTGATTCCTCTTTCATTCAGTGCTCCTCATGCTGAGAACAGGCTTATTAAAGCCTCCAGAGTCTTGATTTAACTCTCAGTATGTTCAGTTAATTTGTTCTTTTAAAAGAGCTTGTGTTCACAACAAATTTTAATTTGCTTTATTTAGCTGTTATAGAAATGATTATTCATTAAAGCCTTCCAAATGAGCTCATTTTATTCATATTTACATATTTTTCACTGTAGACCACTGGGAAAAAAATAATTACTTTGCTAAACAGACAAATGTCTGTTTCTAGCCTAATTCAAGAGAGACTGAAAACCAGATTCTGAAGGCTGGAGTATCACAAAATTAAAATAGCCACAGTGAAAGCTGTTTACTGTAATAGAGGCTTTTGAAACACTTATTTTAAAAAAAAACCCTGTAAAAAAGAATAAAGATACTGAATGACTGACCAAAATCCTTACAAAAAGTTCAAAGACATGTATGTATCAGAAAGATGCCACGAAAATCCTTACAAAAAGTTCAAAGACATGTATCAGAAAGATGCCACAAGACTGGAAGAGTAATCTACACTTCTGAGTTAGCTTGTGGAGATCAGCATCCTCTTGCTGAGGGTGAGTGGGAGAGGAAAGGGACATTGCATCCTTTTGGGATCCTCCAAGAAAAGTAAGCAGTAGGCATGAAAAAGAACAACCTCTTTTTAAGTGCTACATTAATTATTCAAAATTTAAAAAAAATACTTTAGAAATCATCGAGCTAACACTGACCATCAGTTTTAGGTTGAGAAAAACAAAAAATAATGTGTATCTTCTTGATGGATCACTGAAGAACACAACCTTCAAGTGCACTGACAGCACTCTAAACTGAGGAGGAGGACAGTTTACTATAGGTGGGTCAAATTCTTACTACCATCTGCTGGTTTAGATCCTCAGTAGCATATTTGTAGTGAGGTTTTTTGGTAGAGAGGAGGATCCTCTGGCTGGACTTCTTGCCAGTGATTCACCATAATTTTCATACATTTGGCATGCCAGAATTTATCAGTTTTAAGCACAGTAGCACCTGTACCGTAAAATCTGCTTACTCTGGATTCAACTGTTTTGGAGGGGAGGATAAGAAAGAGAAGACAGGCCATGCTTTTTATTCAGTGAGAGAAGCTGAACAAAAGCTTTGAGAAATAGGAATTCAATGTCTTGAGAGCTTAGATCATCAAAATACCCAAAACCATAATAATCTTGCTTTTAATGCTAATTCAAAGGGTCTATTGGGAACTCAAAGTGGATGCAGTTGTCTCAAGAACTGTTTATGCAAGCTGTTCAGTGCCCCATCTGATGTTTTCCTTTTATTTAGTCCCTACATAGTGAAAAATTCAGGTGAAGCTGATTCAGTAACAATGCTGACTATAACCAATTCTGAAAATAAAACTAATAACAACCAAAAAGTTCAGGTTGGAATGGATGCACCTGTATAAAATAGGAATTCATTTTAATGGCATGAAAAATATAATTCCTAGTAAAATTGTTTCTTTATACAATATTTTTTATTTCTTTGAATGAGAAAATCTCTCTAAAAGTATAATCCTTACTCACACTCAAAATTTATGTGCTAAATTGATCCTGATTAAAAAAAAAAAACACAACAACAACCAAAAACCAAAACAATAAAAGAAAACTGAGCAAATGAAAGATCTTTCCCAATTGGTGTTTTGTAAAAATAGGAATTTGCAATCTTGATGTTTCACAGGAATGTACTGCAGGGCATTATCAAGATGTTTAAAATAGTCTATGCACAATGATACAGCCTGAAGGGAATAAAAGATTGCCTGAGTAGAATAAACCCAAAAAGCCAAAAAGCCCTTGCTTACCCAAGTTAGCAGGGAGGGAATTTCCTTACTTCCAGCAAAATAGCACAAAAACTTTTTGAGATGAACCCCAAGAGGATGCAAACCACCCAGGACGTGGTGGTTCAGAGAAGGACCCGACCCCTCCAGCCTGGAGAGCTGCCCTGTGCACCAAGGTCCCCCTCAGCCTGTGGCAAGCCCTGGGGGGACAGGCAGGGACAAGCTGCCTGGCAGCAGGGCAGCCAGGCTGGCACATCACATCCCAGCCCTCCACACACACCCCAGCCTCTGACAGGTCCGACCCCTTATTCCCCAGTGCCTGGGGGACCTGTCTACCTAAAATAAACTCTGGTTCCTTGACTTGGCTGTAATTACGTATCGGTTAATCCCTGAAGTGATGAATAACTTTCCAGGATTTGGAACCTGCCCTGTGGTCCTCCCCACTCCCCCCGACCACTTCAATGAACCCAAGTTTAGAGGTGGTGCCCATAAAGTCTAATGCATATGTGTGATACCAGGAAAAGCTTGGAGGGATGGTAATAAATTGTGTATAAAATGTAAACCATCTGATTAAGGAGCTGCAGAGAGTGATGGTTACGTGTCTTTGTGCAACAGAATATAAAATATATTCCAACTGCAAATTTGAGTTAAAGTGCCTCCTCAAAGTAGTATAATCCTCATTATGATGTAAGGGCAACTGATTTCATTGGAGTGCCAGCCTGAAGACAGGGCTTGTAAGGGCACCCAAGGCCTCAAGAGAAAAATGAAGTCCTATAAACTGGTGTTATGAGGATTAAGATTTCATGAGGATTAACATTTTATGAATGTGCATGGCACTGCACAACAAATAGCATGTGCCTGAGAGAGAGAAATGAGTGCCCCCCAAAAGCTCTGAGAATGAGAAATTTCAACTCAATACAGTTTTTTTTAAGAAATTAATAATATCTTCAATTAAAAAAATATATATATATAATCTTGTTTAGGAAAATGGAATATAGATCTTGGTCTTGCTCATAAACCTTTCAAGTTATGAATTTTTTATTCAATAAAGACAGGTATAAGCAAGTGATCTGGTGTAAAAAAAAACAACATTGAGAAAGTGACACAAAGTATACAGAAAGAAAGTGATACAAAACTTTCTTATGTCTAGAAGTACCACACATCCTTTGTCGTCCAGTCCATCATACAGCACTCACAATTAAATACATGCCTTTTTGACATGATAGGCAAAAATATCATTGTAACTGCTCCTCTAAGAAAAGAAGCAAAACTGAGCAAGGAGGAAGGTGTCAGTTTGCAAAGAGAAAAGAAATCATCATTCTT